GATTTCCTTTTTCTTAAATTTACCAAGGCTTGATTTGTGACCCAAGATGTGATCTGTCCTGGAGAATGTTCTGTACGCACTTGAGAAGAAAGTGTAATCCGCTGTGTTTGGATGGAATGTCCTATAAATATCAATTAAATCTATCTGGTCTATTGTGTCATTTAAAGCTTGTGTTTCCTTATTAATTTTCTGCCTGGATAATCTGTCCATTGGTGTAAGTGAGGTGTTAACGTCCCCCAGTATTATTGTGTTACTGTCAATTTCCTCTTATAGCTGTTAGCAGTTGCCTTGTGTATGGAAGTGCTCCTGTGTTGGGTGCGTATATATTTGTAATTGTTACATCTTCTTCTTGGGTTGATCCGTTGATCATTATATAGTGTCCGTCCTTGTCTCCTGTAACATTCTTTATTTTAAAGTCTATTTTATCTGATATGAGTATTGCTACTTCAGCTTTCTTTTGATTTCCATTAGCATGGAATATCTTTTTCCATCCCCTCACTTTCAGTCTGTATGTGTCCCTAGATCTGAAGTGGGTCTCTTGTAGACAGCATATAGATGGGTCTTGTTTTTGTATCCATTCAGCAAGCCTGTGTCTTTTGGTTGGCGCATTTAATCCATTCACTTTTAAAGTAATTATTGATATGTATGTTCCTAGTACCATTTTCTTAATTGTTTTGGGTTTGTTTTTGTAGGTCCTTTTCTTCTCTTGTGTTTCCCACTTAGAGAAGTTCCTTTAGCATTTGTTGTAGAGCTGGTTTGGTTGTGCTGAATTTTCGTAGCTTTTGCTTGTCTGTAAAGCGTTTGATTTCTCCATCGAATCTGAATGAGATCCTTGCTGGGTAGAGTAATCTTGGTTGTAGGTTCCTCCCTTTCATCACTTTAAATATATCCTGCCACTCCCTTCTGGCTTGTAGAGTTTCTGCTGTGAAATCAGCTGTTAACCTTATAAGAGTTCCCTTGTATGTTATTTGTCGTTTTTTCCCTTGCTGCTTTCAATAATTTTTTTTGTCTTTAATTTTTGTCAGTTTGAGGCACTATGTGCCTCAGTGTGTTTCTCCTTGGGTTTACCCTTCCTGGGACTCTCTGCACTTCCTGCACTTGGGTGGCCATTTCCTTTCCCATGTTAGGGACGTTTTTGACTGTAATCTCTTCAGATATTTTCTCGGGTCCTTTCTCTCTCCCTTCTCCTTCTGGGACCCCTATAATGTGAATGTTGTTGTGTTTAATGTTGTGCCAGAGGTCTCTTAGGCTGTCTTCATTTCTTTTCATTCTTTTTTCTTTGTTCTGCAGCAGTGAATTCCACCATTCTTTCTTCCAGGTCACTTATCCGTTCTTCTGCCTCAGTTATTCTGCTATTGATTCCTTCTAGTGTATTTTTCATTTCAGTTATTGTATTGTTCATCTCTGTTTGCTTGTTTTTTAATTCTTCTCGGTATTTGTTCTTTAATTGTTCTAGGTCTTTGTTAAACATTTCTTGCATCTTCTCGATCTTTGCCTCCATTCTTTTTCTGAGGTCCTGGATCATCTTCACTGTCATTATTCTGAATTCTTATTCTGGAAGGTTGCCTATCTCCACTTCATTTATGGTTTTTCTGGGGTTTTATCTTGTTCCTTCATTTGATACATGGTCCTCTGCCTTTTCATTTTGTCTGTCTTTCTGTGAGTGTAGTTTTCGTTCCACAGGCTGCAGGATTTTAGTTCTTCTTGCTTCTCCTGTCTGCTCTCTGGTGGATGAGGCTATCTACAAGGCTTTGCAGGCTTCCTGATGCGAGAGACTGGTGATGGGTAGAGCTGGGTGTTGCTCTGGTGGGCAGAGCTCAGTAAAACTTTAATCTGCTTGTTTGCTGATGGGTTGGGCTGAATTCCCTCCCTGTTGGTTGTTTGTCCTGAGCCATCCCAGCACTGGAGCCTGTAGGCTCTTTGGTGGGGCTAATGGCCGACTCCGGGAGGGCTCACACCAAGCAGTACTTACCAGATCTTCTGCTGCCAGTGTCCTTGTCCCCATGGTGAGCCACAGCCACTGCCCACCTCTTCAGGAGACCCTCCAACACTAGCAGGTAGGTCTGGTTCAGTCTCCCCTGGGGTCACTGCTCCTTCCCCTGGGTCCTGATGTGCAGACTACTTTGTGTGTGCCCTCCAAGAGTGGAGTCTCTGTTTCCTCCAGTCCTGTCGAAGTCGTGCAATCAAATCCCACTAGTCTTCAAAGTCTGATTTTGTGGGAATTCCTCCTCCTGGTGCCGGACCCCCAGGTTGGGAAGCCTGACGTGGGGCTCAGAACCTTCACTCCAGTGGGTGGACTTCTGTGGTATAAGTGTTCTCCAGTCTGTGAGTTACCCACCCAGCAGTTCCGGGATTTGATTTTATTGCGATTGCGCCCCTCCTAATGTCTTATTACGGCTTCTCCTTTATCTTTGGATGTGGGTATCTTTTTTGGTGAGTTCCAGTGTCTTCCTGTTGATGATTGTTGAGCAGTTAGTTGTGATTGTGGTGCTCTCGCAAGAGGGTGTATGTGCAGGTCTTTCTATTCCACCATCTCGAGCCATTCTCAATGTCAGTTTATATTAATGGTAAAAAAATATCAAAGTACACAATTAAACTCTAGAACTAGTACACAGAAGTGAGAAAACTAAGGTTTGTATGGTAATTCTGTACTTTTTTTTATTATCCAGTACTGGAGCACCTTGTCTGTGTTATATAACACTTTCATCTGGTGGTTAGTAAATGTGACTTTTGATTGTAAGCATGTGCCACTTGTAGAAAATGGTGTAAGATCTTAATATTAAGAGTTTTATTATCACATTGATAAATGCTAGAAGCATGATAAATGTGTTCTTTTATCTAGTATATTTCAGGTGTTTGACATTACAAAATATTGGAAGGAAGGAAGAATCCTATATTGATGGAAAGTAGTATCTTAGATGCATGTTGTAATGGAATTACATAACTTATAGTCATTATTAATATATTTTATATACAAGTGTACCATAATGTATGTTTACAAACTTCACATATATCACATGTTGCCAGTAGAATCCCAGAAATTCTGTAATAAATCATATGCATCCTTTGTAGGTTGCCTTTTTTTTTGTTTTAAAATTATCAAAATTATTGGTGATCATTGATTAATTACTTGATTTTTTTAAGGTTTTTTTTCCAAATGTAGAAATTATCTATGACCCTTTT